CTAGAAGCCCAACGTTGTTGTTGGGAAATAACATGTCTCAGAAGTGTTTTATGAAAGATGATTTGGCAGTTGTTGACTAAGTCTCTGAAGGCTCCAGGCAAAAAGTATCAAGCACCTTGTTCCTAGCACACACAGCATTAGAGATAACCTTTTCCAGATGCTCTGTGATGCTCCAGCTGCTGTGGGCTGTCACTCACCGGCCCGAGAGGAGTGGTTTGGCCAGGAGCCGGCGGTGCCCGAACGCAGGGGACCGTCCCCCTCTAGCGGCACAGGGACGGGGGACGCGGCTCTGCTCGGCGGCACTCACAGCGTGAGCTCACCGTGAGCGCAGCTCAGGGACCACCAGCACGCACACACAACAGCTAAAGTACCAAACGCACTTTAATGAGTTCCAGATTTTGTTCCCAGAAGGAATTTATACCGTGTCAGTACATTAGCCAGGTACATAATTTCTCCTGAACTACAGGCATGAGGAGAACTATGACATACTAGGTATCTAAGGTTACTCTTGGAAACCAGTTTTCCACATTAGAAATAAGGCAGGTTTCAGGCGTGCATGTAGCTGATTTATCCAGTCCTCAGATGCCATATTTGCCCTTTAGTTCTTCCACTTTTGCTATGTAAGCTTTCATTGCATCTTCTTTGGACATTCCTGAAGGACAGAACACAGGAAGCAGTCAGATACCTTCCACCTATTAAGATGCCTTTTAGAAGTCACAATTCCTTGCTCTAGTCTGTGCCACTGGAGAGCAAAGGAGCCAGGAAGGCCACTTGGCTGTGAATCCACTGCTAAAGGTTTAAACAAATGTGTTTTATCAGTCATGAAAACACAGTGCTTCCAAGCAAAGTTGTTTTTGCACAGACAGCAACTAACCAGTGTATTAGTTCTATCAATGCCATTGACAATTATCACAGGAAAGCTATTCCTTAAAACACCAGAAAAAGCCCCATTGTCACAGATCAGACCACTTGTTGGGCTCCTTATTTAGAGCTGGGAGCTCAGTTGTGTCTTCCACAGCTTTCCTAACTGGAAGATGCATAACAGCTGGAGGGAGAGCTCAGTCTCTGGGTACTAGGCTGGGACCAGGAAAACAACTTTAGATTTCAGCTGCTGTTATTGTTCTTTATTTAACATCTTAGGCCAGCTGGGCATTTTGCACCCTAATTCCCTTTCACACAGGCCATATTTTTCAGGATTACTTCTGCCTTGCAGAGGTAATTAAAATTTATTATCATGGCATTCTGAACTTCTAGAATTCTTGTATTAAAAGGCAACATTATCCTGATTCTATCCTGAACTACACGAGTCTTTCTGACTAGTTTGCCGGGGTAATTTTATTAATTTCTTTAATCAGACACTTACCTTTCAATGCACTCCAGGCATCCCACTTTGCTTTGCCTTTGAAGTCCAGCATACCAGGGCGCTCTGAGAAAGGCAGGATGAGCAGCAGGATTAGTTTGTGTGATCTGGCTGTAGGTAATACCCACTCGAAGGCTTAGCTGGCTCTTAGCTGTGACTAAATACCATGGCTCATCTCTGCAGCTGTTACTCGCTAACCTGTAGCCAGGAGATCACCTCAGGGGAGTATGTTACAACATCGTTGGTGAGGATAGAAATAGACTCTTTCAAATTCCCTTGAGACAGCAGCATTTGAGCAGAAGAGCACCAAGAGCGCTGTCATTTGGTTTAGTTGAACTTTCTGAAGAGCCTGCTGTCACATAAGAGCTGTCCCATTAAAGAACACCAGCTCTAAAGTAAAGCAGACACACCCTGTGGTCCATTACAGGCAGAGACACAGAAACAGGCAGCTGTTTGTAGTAACACACAGCTTGGAACTCATTACCATCAAGTTAATGGTGTATTTCTAACCTATAGTTGTGCAATTGAAAACCTTGGAAATTTAACTCACTTCACTGCAGGCTGTGGTGTGGCCAAGCAGAAAGTGAACGACATGTACATAGTTAATCTTTGTGTCAAGTCCCCTTTGTGGCTTTACTTCCTCTCTCTCTCTCTCTCCTTAAAGATAATTCTTAGAACTCACAAATGGGACTGGGCAGTATTCACAAACAGCCTTGTGCAGCCCCCATGGCACAGTGACCTGTGGCTCCACTTGGCAGCTCCACTTGTCTGCAGCACAAACCCCAGCAGTCACCCTCCCACAGGCTCCTGCTCGGGCCAGCTCACGTTGGCTGCTGCTCCACACGAGTGCAACAGGAATGGTGCCATATCCCCAGCACTGCTTCACCCTGTCGAGCACTAATAATGCTGATGCCCAGCCACACCAAAAAGACCACATCTTAAACCCAAAGTAAATTATTTTCTCCCTCACGCTGCCAGCTTTGGAAAAAGGAGATTAAATTACTTACCATTTCCTGTACACTTCACTGCCAGCTTTTAAATCAATGGACACTCAATAAACTTTGCCAGCTACTGGGTTAGGAGGCCAGCACTCCAAAGAAATGACCTTTTCCCTTTCTAATTCTAGCTACTCCAGCCTTACACAAGGTCGATAGAGACACGCTCCACTTTAAATGCTATTCCAAAGGCTGAGCTGCTATGGACAGCATTGTAGTGAGAGAAGTAGGCAGAAACATTTTGCACTGTGTACTTAAAGACATATTTTTGGTACAGTCTTTTTGAAGTATATTTAATTGCAGCTCGTATAAAAGTTTTCTCCTATTCTTCTGGTTTTGCTTTCCAGCACTATTTTTAGCAGTCAATCTAGTCTAAATAAACTCAAATGTGTCATCCCCTCCAGTATTTGCAATTGCGTCCTTGTATTGCAATTCCACCCTTGTATCTCTCGCCTTGCTGTTTAAATCTGTATAACCGAGAAGTGTTTGCATTAAAGCAGCATCCCTCGGCCTGAGCAGCTACTCACTGCCAGAGCTCTCCAAAAAACCCAATCCAAATATTTACACACAGCTAACGCAAAGCATTCTCAGGCCCTCACTGCACGGAGCAGACAGCGGCAGCCGGGTTAATCTAAAAACCCCGAATTGCACAAAGCCTTATCGGGTCAGGCAGTGCCCTCCCGCACGCAATCCCGGCCAAGGCGGCTCTGAGGCACTTGCGCTGCGCCGCGGGATTGAGGGAAGCGCAGAGAGGGAGAGGTTTTGCCTCCCGGGCCGGTGCCTACCAGTGTTCACGTCGCCCACCGTGGCCTGTTTGTAGTGGCTGTAGATGTCCAGCATCTCCTGGTCCGTGGGCTGCGACTTCAGCTGCTTCACCTCCTCGGCAGCCTTCTGGAACGCGGCCTGGGGGGAAGGCGGCAGGGGGTGAGTGAGGGGAAGGTTCGCGGAGCCCCCCAGCTGCCCCCGGCTCCCCGCGGCCCCGGCGCCCCCCGCACCTCGCTCATTGCGCCGAACCCGCCTGGCCCCGGCCCCGCCGCTTCTGCCCCGCCACCCTCGCCGCGCGCCCGCCTCACCCCTCGCCAGACCGGCCGCCGGCCAATCGCAGCGCCGCGGGCCCCGCGGACACCAATCAGCGCGGGCCGGGGGCGGGCACAGGGCGGGCAAGGAGCCAATGTGGAGGCGGCACGGGTGCCTCCCGTTCATCAACGCGTGAGGAGACAACGGCGGCGCGAGGGGCGGGGGCGGGACAGAGCAGAGCCCTCTCAGCCAATCGGACGTCTCAGGGCTGCCACCGAAAGGACGTGATTGGAAGAGCGGGTAGGCGGGGCGGAACCCGGAAGTGGCGGCGGAGAGCGGTAATGGGCCCGGTGGGGCGGGCGGTGCCGGTGGGGCCGGGCCCTGGTGGGGCGGGTGGCGGTGCCGCCGGCGGTGCCGCCGCCGGTGCCGCCGCCGGTGTTGCTGTGGGTCCGGGAGGTTCCTCTGTCCCAGAGGAATGCGCCACCAGCGCCTCCCACCTGCCTGCTTGTACCCATGGAGGCGCGGGCTAGTGCACGGTTCCAGCCCTACGTGCGATCGGTTTGAGTAGTAAATGTGAAAATTGGCAATTTCTGAATGGGCTCCTCATTCTGTGTTCCCACAGGATTTCTCCATGCTGCTTAGGAGCAAGTGAGTTGAATGCGGTGCCCTTTACTGCACCCCCCAAGTCACCAGCCCATGTGGAATAGCACCCAGAAAACATCCATCTTTGTTGTTTAGTATAAATCGAGTTATTTCCAGGTGCAAAGTACGCTTTTTTGATTATTTGTGTGGTGTGTGATACATACTCATTTAAAATGGAATTGGAACTCGGGATTATTAGCCAAGGTGATGCAAAACCAAGTTGCCTTGTGTGGTGGAAGGTCTTTGCCCTGTTCTGCAGATAGTACTTGATGAAAATATTGGTAGTTAGCTTTGCCAGGCTACGGCTGGGATAAATAACAGCCTAGGTTGGGATGCACCTGCAGGATGGTGGGGCACTTAAATAACCCCACAGCAAAAAAAAAAAAAAAAAAAAAAAGCAAAAAAAAAAATAGACACACAAAAAGGAACATTTGGGGATGAGTGGGTAAAAGGTTCCCTGTCAGGACTGGAGGTGGACTCTGAGATCCTGCTCAGGATGGGAGGTGCAAAGGTCGTGCTGATGTTGGAGCACATGGCCTGCAGTCCTTGCTGGTTGCTGCAGCAGCTCTGGCACTTCAGCACGTGGCCAGGAAGCTGAGGGATGCCCAGCGCCAAAAATAGAGAAGTTTGTCAAGGTAGAAAAGAACTTAGCTTCCTGTGGAGAGAAAAAAACCTAATGGAACAATACATGGGCTTGTTTGAAGAAAGGTCTGGTCTGTTTTAGGCTCTGCTCTCTAGTATAAGCCCATAGAGCCATTCTAGAGACTGACTATTATAAATTAAATCCCTAATTATGCTGTAGTATACCAGGAAACTGATTTGCCTGTGTATCTGGTGGTTTTTCACTTTTCCTGGGGAGGTGAAAATGAGCATTGTGTAGCAGCTTAGACATTTTTCAGAGTATTACCCTCTCTCCAACACAAGTATGTTAAAAAAGTCTTTGGGTTTGTTTGTATTAGGACATTCTTCTAGAGCCCAGCGGGTGAAGTCTTCAGTCACTTAAAATCCATACAACACTCTTGCATTTATCTATTGAAACAGGACGACTCCCATGGCATGGAGGAATGATGAGGAGGACTCCATCTTCTCAGAAGGCTGATTAATTACTTTATTATACTATATTACTCTATATTATATTATACTATGTTACATTACATCTAAACTGAATCTGCCAAGCACTCAACCCTGCTCACACTGCACAGAATCTCGTGACTGTCAGCCAGCAGTCCCGACACACACACACACACACACACACACTTGGGCTTGATAGGCCAAGGAAACAAAACACCATCACTTTGGGTGAACAATCTCCATATTGCATTCTACTTTGGCACAAACACAGGCACAGCAAATGGTAAGAATTGCTTTTCCTTTCTCTGAGGTTCAGAGAATGTGAAACCCAATAAATATTCTCGGGAGGAACTGTGCCTTGCTTTTCTCTGTGAAGAGAAATGTGGCTACATTTATCCACAGCACTCTTGCATGTTTAATGGGGAGTCTGGTGTGGCATTGCACAGCACAGGTACTGGAGTGTGTGGTGTGCAGGATCTGTTTGTTCTGAGACCCTGTGGGAATCACAGCAGTGAAATCCTGAAGGGCCCAATGCTGTTGGATTTCTCACATATTTTATTCTTTACACGAGGCCTGCCTGCACCTCATTTTCCAGCTGTGCTCGTGGGCAGAGGAAAGGCAGTAATCTTGGAATCTCTGCTGGTCACAGTGACCCGAGATACATTAGAAAGTCTCTTTTCAGCCTGGTGGTCAAAGAAGGAGTCAGAGCTCTTCATTTCTCAGTCTCAAGGTTGTTTATTGTTTCTTATCTATAACATTCTTTCTCCTGTCCTGCCGAGGTCCGCTCAGCAAGACAGACAGAGGCACTCTGCCTGCCCCCGGGGCAGTGTTTTGTCTTTATACTAAAAACTACGTGTACAATGTTTACCATGACTTTCCAATACCTATCACCTATGTTAGACAGTGAGCTTCTACTCTAAACCAATCTGTAAGTGCCAACATCACAGCAGAAGATGGAGGCCAAGAAGAAGAAGGAGAAAGGCTGGACACACCCAGATTCCTCCATCTTGCCCCCTGAACTCCCATTCTAAAAAGCCCAAAAATCTATTTTTCACCCTGTGATAAATTCACTATCATTCTACTTAAACTTTCATGGCTTGTACTTCTTCATTATAAAGGTTGCTAATTGTTTTTTCCAAGGGCTAATTGTTTTTGCTAAATCAAAGGCACAGGGGTCTTGGGCTCTGTGCCAAGGTCTCTGAGTGCCCTGGGCAGGGGCTTGAGTCCTCCAGGGCAGCCAGAGGAATTTCCTGCATTCTGACACAGTAATTCCTCCCTTTGATGTTTCCCAGGTCATTCAGAGCTCGTTCTGATGTCAGCAGAAGGCTCCACCATCACGGTTCGCCTGGTGCGCTCCTTCCAGCACCGCAATTTCCGGCCCCTGGTGTTCCACGGGGTCCCCTTGGAGCAGACAGTGCGGGAATTCATGGCCTTCGTGCGCCAGGGTAAGCCCTGCCTGCCTCCTCTGGCTCCTTCACTCCCAAGTGCTGCTGTCCCTCCACCTTCTTGTGGAGCAAATGGATGGGAATGGCTCTGATGGAGACGCCAAATTCGTGTTTGCATCCCCCGTGTGCTTTCCTTCCTTGGATGAAAGGTCTGGAGTTAATGACAGCTTCCATGGTTGGTGTGCCATGCTTGAGTTTGGCTGGACTTCTCCCCCATGCCCAAATCCCCACTGTAGGAGCCTTGGGGGGTGGGACAGACAGAGATGAGAGATCTCTGCAGCCAGGTCATGGAACTTGGAGTTTATTGCAAAGGGCCTGGGTGCAGGGCCCTGCTGGGAGCTGCCAGCCAGAGCTGGAGCAGGCACGAGAGAAGAGAGGGGTAGAGAGGATGAGAGAGAGAGAGAGAGAGGATGAGAGGGTAAGAGGGTAAGAGAGCGAGGTTCCCGTTACAATACAATAAATCTTCTTCTGTGTTGAATATTCTAATTCTCACTAACCAATCTAGTACAAGATACAAATCCTATAGCATTTACATTCAGCCTATAAGAATCATTACATCACCATACTGTCTTACATTTTAAACCCTAAAAACTCCTCTTTGGACCCCATCTGCTAAGCTAGGAGGGTCTGCTCTGACCCTTGGACCTGTCTGAAAGCAGGGGGTGTTGTTTCATCAAAAGGAGATTGATTACCTTCAGTGTGGCCACACCATTGTTTTCCAGTCATTCAGTAACTAAGGGATCTCAAAGCTTGCTTTCATTTCAATCTCACTTATAGTTTCTATATTCTCAAAATCTTTTGCCAGGCAATCATATTTACAAGGCTTTCCTGTTTCATCTTCGCCAACACCCACGTTTAGTCTAAAAGAAACAAGGGCATTGCTGCATTTGGCTCAGTGCCTCAGGCTCATTGAGGGGTGCTGTCAGGCAAATATTCAGCAATTAATAGGAATAAATTAATAGAATTTAGAAAGTCTTTGATGCTAACTACGCAAATATGTGGAATGTGGGAATGCAAGTCTGTTTGCTATTTGTGAGAAAAGAGAATCTTGAAAATTTGTTTTTGACACTGTGTGGTCTCACAGTGCATGTTTGTTTCTGAGTTTCTGTCTCCATCCTGAGCTTTCTGGTGCAGATTTACTCATCTGTGGGCTTTCTCTTTTATAAGCCTGGTTGAAAGTGACAGTGAATCTAAAAGTTAAGTACTGCAGACCAGCACACACAGTGACTTGATCATTAGGGTGTTACCCTTAATCCTGCAGGTGTATTTCCACACACCTCAATGGAGACATTCAAAGGGTACAAAATAACATAATTTGTTTGTTTTGGTTTGGTTTGGTTTTTTTTTTTTTTTTTCTTCATGAAGTCAGCTTAAACAAGTCTTGAACTGTTATATTAGGTAACATTTGAGCAACTCCTAGGACATTGCCCTGGGACTCACGGGTGTCTTGTGTTTGGCAATTTCCATACTTCTAGGCAGTGATAGGCATGGCAAGGTCTTAGGATGCTGTTGGAACACTGCAAGCACTTTCAGAACATATGGCACAGCTGTTGTTGTGAACAAGAAAATAAAAAACAATGCTAGGAAACTTGCTTTTGATGTGTGCAATATTTCAACTCGCTGTTATTTGAGACAAAGCCAATGCTTTAAACAAGACTTAGAACCCTGTTCCACAGGGGTGCGAAAGCCCTGCTCCTTCCTTTACAGTAATCTGTTTTGAAGAGGCAGTTTAAGATAAATGGTTAAACTGCTGAAGAAATGGCTTCATCCACCTTGCTGCTGGGCACCCCGCTGGTGGCTGGGCCTTCTGAGTCCTGGTTAAGTCACAGAGAGCACTAGCACCAGAGAAGGTGTCAATGTTCCTGCAGTTTCCTATGGGCTGTGTCCTGCAAGCAGCTAAAGAGTTAATTTTCTACAGTTTGGCTTCCTTTTGGTGCCGTGTTTACCTGAGGATTCAGTTCTGGGTGACAGTTGTCAGCTGTTTGTATAAGGTAAAGAGAGATGCTGGGCAAACCATTGAGAGGATGTTCCTGGCAGATTTCTGAAGGATCAGACTCCTGTGATCACACCCTAATTGCACTGACTCACTGTCCTCGTGGGGTGTTTTGTTCAGAGAGACTTCATGCTCAAATGAACTTACTCCCATATGGAGTCACTATAGAATCTGGGCCAAAGGCTGTGTTTTAGCATTTGATGATCAAGCAGCTCTCCTATGTTGCAGATTTGTTTTGACTTAAAGGCTGCCCAGGGGATGCATACATTGCACAATAATGGAAAATGAAGGATTGGAAATAATTAAGAAAGAGAACTTTGTTTTAACTTTGTGCTTTTATTTTAATAGATGTGTCTTCAAGATCAGGACTTCCTCCTCCTTTTAAAAATTACAAGTATGGTAGGTGGTTTTTATTTTTCTTGTTGTAATTGCCATCAAATGACCACATGATATTTTACACCAGCATTTCTACAACTTAAAAGATAATTGCTGTACAATACTAATGTTGGTGCCAGTGCCTGCTTACATTTGCAGCAACTCTTGTAGCTGGAGTTATCCCGCAGAACTTGACCATTATTGTGAAAATCTGTTTTAATCTTTGAATTAGGCTGCATGGTTTACATTATTTGCTATTGGGAACTGATGGGTTTTGATATTAATTTTTTATTACTTTTTTAAAGTGCCTTTTAACTCTGTCTTTACCCTAATGAGCAGCTTGTGGTCTCAAAACACTTTGAAACTGTAGTTCTCTGTCTGCTTATGTACTTCAGTATCTATTTACTGATGGTGAAGCAGAAGCTGAAGGCAAAAAGTAGAAAATGCTTGAGTCTTATATACTTAAATAGTTTACACAATATGAGAGAAACAGGGGAACTTTGCTCCAAGTAGATATGAAAGCTCTTAAAGACAAGCTGGTGGTATGAAATTGCATGATGTGAAATTTAAGCTGACTTTATCAAAGCTATATTTATATTTCCTTTTTGTGCAGATTGTTGTGAACATGTGCAATTCATCTGCTTGGGATAGAGAAAACTTTTTAGACAGACTGAGTTACTTCCTTTTTTGGAGTTTGTAAACTTGGGTGTCAGTCACATTTCTTCTCCTAAGCTTGGCAATTCTCAAAGTTCCCATGGAGTTTTCCTGCAAGTGATCCTCTGTGTCCCATGTTCTTGGAGTTGACAAACTCCTTCCTCTATGGTCATTCAAAGAACTGAGTGAAAAATCTACTTAATACATGTGAAAATAAACTCTATTTGCCTATTAAAAAACCCCAAAAACCAAAGGATTTCATTTTGTGCTCTTGCTGATGGTGAAACAGAGAGTGCAAATTGAAGCTAGAAAAAGAGTTAGGGATTAAGATTGATTATACAATCAGTGGCAGGGACTTGAATGTTTTTATTATTTTTAATGTGTTACTTAAAGTCATAACATCTGGAAGTGCAAGTTTGAATTTGGAGGTGCCCTTCACCCCATTTGTGGCTTTGGCTGTTTGAGGGGTTCCTGTCTAGAACTGCTGCTCTCAGTTGTATCCCTGGTGCTGCCTATCCCAGCTGCTTCTTTCTTCACTTGGAGATCAGTTTAGCTTTTCCCAAGACATATCTGGTGGCTGAGGGCCTGATTGTGCCCTGTAGGACTGAGCATAACTTTAAAACCTGTTGCACCAGTTACTGGGAGCCTACTCTTACTGTGATGGTGCTAACTGCAGGAAAATTTTCACACAGGAAAATCAAAGCCAGGTTCCTCACCTTCCCCTCAGGCTGTGAATCATCCAGGTTCATGTTTTTGGCATCTTTGCTATCTCTACAGTGGTCTGCTGTCTTTCCTGTGTTTTTGTGAGGAAAGGGCAGTGAGACTTCTGTAGTAAAAGCCAGACTTTTCCTCCTGTTTTGTTTGGCAGTGCCAGAAATCTCAGTTGGATGTGGTTGTCTCTCACTGTGCCTGTTTCAGCTTCCTTCCCTCCAGAATTCAGCACCACTTTGTTTTAACATTATATATAATGCCAATTCACATCTCAAAGCTTGTGACTTCCATTTTCTCTTCATTTCTTTGTATGGATTATTCTGGATCTTGGTCTAGAACTTTTTCTGAGTCAGTCTTATCTTAGCACCTTGTCACCTTTTCATACCACAGTACCTTTTCACTGATGCTGGCAGTCTGGGTGCCAGCTTGTTCCATAAGCTGCTTCTCAGTTTTATTTCTTTCATCCATCCATGCAGAGCAGTATGGCAGGTAGTTCATAAAATCACTTAGAAAGTGGTATCTTATCAATTGCCATGATAGACCTATCATCAGAAAAGGCAAGATAAAAACTTGGCAGTTTTCAAGTCCCTGCCACTGATTGAGAGGGGATGAAATAGCGAAGGCCAGTCAGAGGATTTAGCTTGTGGGAAGAGATTATAGTTTAATCTCTGTAAGAGAGTTAAAGAAGCCATTTAATAGCTCAGATGAGCCCATGGTAAACTGCTGGGTGCCAGTGGTGGAGTTCTGAGCCAGTAGAACTGAGACAATGCTTCAGGGCATGACTGGACAAGGACTAGAGAAAAGGGAACGTACCAAAGTAGACAGAGGAGCTTAAAACTAACAGGCACAGGCTGGGTTTATTTGCTGTAGTAGAAAGGTTTCATGGTTGCAATATATTTTTCTGTGATTGCTTGGTCTTTTTGTAACGTTTCTATGCAAGATGGATCCTGGTAATTGCAATTTAATGTCTGTCTTGCTTCTAATACCACAGTTATTACAACATGCCAAGGCTGCCTTCTCAGTGACCAAGCAGTGAGAATACAGAGTACTTCTTACCTTGTGTAATGTTTTAGATAGAGTTCAAAATGGGCCAGAATGGAATGGAAGCAAACTTCTGAGTGGGAATGTGATCTCTGTTATTCTGAACATCTGAATACTTGCTCTGGTAATTTGAAAGTTGGTTTGGCCAATAATAAGTTAATTTTGCTGCATCCTTCTCTTACCAGACTATTGCAACATGTAATGTTCACTCAATGCACAAAACTAAATTAGAACAGAAAATGAGCAGACAAGCAGAACTGGTTTTTCTTCTTTGCTGGGAAGGTATTGATGTGTTACTCCAGATTTGTTCAAACACAGAGTCTTCAATTTTTTTTATTAGTGTTGCATGGCTTTAAGCTGTTCCCTCTGGATCTTTGCACTCATCCAGTTGCTTTAGTGACTGTGTTATTTTCCCCTGTGTTTCCCTTCTGTTAACAAAACCCTGCCCATGTTGCCAGGAGAAAGTGGCACTTTAAAAAAAATTTTTAAAAGCACTACACTACACAAACGTAAAATAAAAATTATTGAAGAGGATGTAACGTAAAAGAGAAGAGGCTGTAGATGTTAATGTAAAATGAACTTGCTTAATGAAATTTCTGCTGTCGATGGTGGGTGTTGTATACATGAGAAGGAAAATTTCAAAGGATGATCTGAAGTGATCTGGTTACTGTGTCTTAATTACTTGCTGCCTATCAACTTAGCTGTAGCAGTTGACAGTGCATAAATGCTGTTGGTCCTGCCCCAATTGCATGTGTAAAACCTATTAAGTTAATACACCCTAAGTGGCATTTAAGTTGATGTGTTTTGACTGGCAATTGAAATGGTCGTTAGTTGGTTATTGTAATTCAGTCAGCAGACAGAAGCCCAGTCGGATGTGGTACCTTAATGCTGCATTGACTGCTTTAAGGCTGTGGCCACAGAACTGTGAGATTAAGATGTTTTCTCCTCTTTCAGGTTGAATACACAAAATTGTAAATAACAAAAGATTGTGAAGCTTCCCCCTTTGTTTGTTTGTCTTTCCCGAGTACAACTTTCTGTGTTGTGTGCTTATTAAGCCTTGTTTTAGGAAAACATTGTTTTTTCTTTCAGATACCATGAAGATTATTCACCAAGCACACAAATCTAAGGTAAGATTACTAGCTGTGTTCTTCCCCTTTTGCATGCTTTGATGCAGGCAGATCTCTGCACTGTCAAACAAGACTGAAGCAGAGGAAATTCTTCTTATTTTTGTATTCTGGTTCTCTGATTTATAGACTGGTGAGCTTGTAGTGAGTTTGGAAGATGATGACAAACTGATTTTGAAGGAAGACAGCACGCTGAAAGCAGCTGGAGTAGGTAGGAGTGCATTTGTATTGACTGAAGATGCTGTTCCTTGTGGTAGCATTAAACTGATAGCTGGCTGATTATGTTTGGACAGGCTGCTGAAAAGTAAATGCTATTTCTGATGCTCTTTACACGACTTGATAATTATTCAGGGAAGCATTATTCAAATCATTGGTCTGAGGGCAGCAGGTATCTGCACTCCAAATGTTCAGAATGCAAATTGTGATTTTTAGAGGGTATGCTTATAATTCTGCTGAGAGTAATTTTAAATGATTGACAGATAGGTTATTAGTACCGTGCCTGCTTGGTCTTATCAGTAACATTTAAACTGATGTTTTGGTTAGAAATGTAAGTAGTGGAACCAGCATGGAATAATGAAATAAGATTAGATTTGTTTAATGTGCAGCATACAGTGTCTGATAGCCAGATTGCTCGGGAAAGCTGGAGCAGTATCATTTAGAGAATGTGCTGAACATAGCAAAGAGTTGAAACTTGACCTGATTTCTCACATTTTGACAAGAGACGACATATAGGGCATGTCTTTTGGTAATAATGTAAAGAAATGTCTGTCATGATAAAATTGATGGTCCCTGGATGTCCTTTGGGCTTCTCATAAAAGTGGCTGAGTGACTTTGTGGCAGCAGGGTACTTAGGGGATGTGGTTGCATTCCACCTTGATATGGACATTTGCTCATTTGAATGTGATTTGCCTGGCTGGAAAGCTTTAACTGCCTGAGCTCTAAGTGCAGGGGCTTCACAGAGGAGGCTCCCTCCTGCTCCTGCTGCTCACTGATTGCTCCCCAGCTACTGAATGGGATTTCTTTCTCCTAGGTTACTTGGCTCTCCTGTTCCTGTGATTTATTTTCTGGTTTTAAGTGACTTGGGATGTCTCTTCAGTGTTTTTCTCTGGTTCCAATATACCTTTCCTAAAGGTCTTTGAGTGTTCCTGTAATATGAATCATCGCTTTTACTACACACTAGGTCTTTTTGTCTGCAGGAAGGGAAAAAAAAAAAAAAAGAAAAAAGAGGATTACTGGCATCCAAGCCTTGCAGATTTGTAATTTAGTTTGCAAAAGATTCATTTAATCATGATCTTTATCTGTGTGAGGCATAAGAGACAGTGCAGTTCAGGAGAGGGACTGATGACAGTGCCAAATGTTGAATTAGAAATAACAAAGCTGTCTTCTTTCAAAAAGGTATGGATGGGTATTTGTATATATTATCTGCCTTTGAAACTGGGTTTGTAGCTACAGCAGTGAAACAGTTGGATGTGATCTCAAAAAAGGTGTCAAAAACATCAGACTAAATGTTACACTGAAAGGAAATAGGAATGCAGAAGCCTGTTCTGTGTCTCTACAAAGGGAGGGGTGGTTCATTTAGGGCAGAAAATAATTTAAAGCTTTTTTTTGTTTCTTTTTTTCTGAATAACAGCAGTTATTAGTATATAGAGGATATTTGTGATAGAAGAGGGAAACCCATTCTTTGGAAAATGCAATGTGCCATTATGCCATTTTGAATTTGGAGATGTTCCACTGTATCTTGACGTGAAGATTAGCTAAGTTAGGAGTGAGGTTTTTGTAGTAAAATCTTCAAGATTTTTCTCCTTCAACAAGAGGTAGAAAAGAGTAAGCCAAGGAAGTGATATGTATCATGTACCACTGGTCCTCATTTTGTACAAAACAATAATTTTTTTATGTTTTCTTTAAATCAGTGAGAAGATTTGAAATCTCCTATTAAGATGTGATTTTTTTCAACATCTAGTCTGGCCAAGGTCTACTAGAATAAAACAATCAGAATCACCATTAGAAAATCTGGGAAATTCTGATACATGCAGAACAGTTTTCCTAAGCTGCAGTTGATTGCCCTTGGCACTTTACAGGGTTGGGCTAGAGAGTTATAAATTATGAGGACATTAGATAAGTATCCTCAGGAAAGCCTCTGTAGTAGGGATTATTATTACAGTTATTATCCAGTCAGCAAAGTTAATGCTTGCAGTTTTTTTTAAAGCAGGGTGTATGTAATAAAGTGTTCAGTATTCATTACAAATAATCTTATCTGTTTTCTAGTTGAGGTTCTAAAATCCCTTCTTCTACTCTTTTTTGTTTCTTTTGTTTTTTTTTACAAGACAGGCAGGCTTCATTAACTTGAGGTTTAATTTAAAAAACGAATGTGGAATTTATTGGCTCAGCACCTTAAAGAATTTCATGTTTAATAATTGTGAAGGCATTCCATCAGATTTGTCTCTGTTCTGAATTAGTAATGTTGCTGACTGACTGTTTTAGAAGAGGAAGTCCTTGACCTACTGGGTTGAAAGAATTGTGACTGTTCTGAACCTTTGTGGGTCCTCTAGCTCTGCCATATCCCCTGTGAATAATTAGAGGTATTTGAAGGTATTGCTGGAGAAGTCAATTTGTGTCTTTCACTTTGCATATTGTCGAAGCCTCATGAATTAATCATCAGCAGGGCAAAAAATTCACTTCTTCAGACACATATTTTGATGGGTCATGAGGGAGAATGTAAAGTGATCTGTAAAATATTCTACTGATCCTCTAAGTATTAAATTATTATACCTACAGGCTAATTTAATGGGAAAAAGAAGTTTCTTTCTCCCTTTCCTAACAGAAAAATGCACAAAAAAGAATGTATCACGCTTCATTACTTTCCTAGCATTTGAAAGTGTTAGAAATGCCATCACCTAATTTGCTGAATGCTTTAACAAACAATTCTGAAGACTGTGTTAAACAAATCTTGAGGGGTCTTGTGTACATATTTCCTTCTATATGTTCATGTTCTTGGTGGTTTTGTTTGTTTGGGGTGTTTTTTTAATGAGATTTAACAATCTCTTTAATACTAGCAACATTTTTCAAAAATATTATGAGGAAGAAAAAAAAGTGGGTGGTGATTTATCATTTTCTTTGACCATAAAGTTGCTAATTGTCTTCTAAAATTCTAAATAGCTGGCTGTTGGTGGTTCATTTACTGGTGTGCTAAATATTTAATTTTTTATTTCTTCTAGCAAATGAGACAGAATTAGCATTCTTCTGTGAGGAAGATTACAGAAACTACAGAGCTAATCCTGTTTCGGCCTGGTGAAGATCCCAAGAGATTGTTTTGTTTTCCCATACCTGTTGTAAATTTTCCTTATTCTGCTTAATGAGATTTTTCTTAAAGATCAATAAATCCTAGAGGATTTCTTTGCAAACAGTGCAATTCCTTTCCTATAGAAATTAATTTCTGTCAATATGCTAAGACTGAGAGAGGAAAAACTGGGGGACGTAAACGACTTTTTTCCTCCTCCCTTTTCTTTTTGCTGTGCTTGGCTCTTGAGCCTCAGGCAGTGCCATCCCTGACCCGTGACACAGGTTCTTGGTGTGATCCCTCAGCACACAGTAACTGCATTTGGAGGTTATAGAATGCACAGGAGGATCCCATCACAGTACTAAATTCTACTGAAAATGAAGTGAAACCTCCTTCAAATGAAATGAAATGTTTTATGACCAAATCACTGGGTATTTTAAAAAACTTGAGAAGAGAATCTCTCTGTTTTAAGTCACAGCTTTACTTCTCTCATTTAATGTTTGGTCTCTTTTGTTTAAATAGTGCAGACTGGCCAGTGTTTCATGCTTTTCAGTGGTGAATGCTCTCCATTATCCTCTCTTCCAGCCCTCTTTAGCATGCTGAAAGGGACAAATGTCTGTTGGGAGGCTTTTGTGTCCACAGACCAGCTCGCCTGTTTCTAGCTTCACTTCATGGAGCCACCTTCACATGGGGGTAGCAGCTCGAGTTCTGCCAGGACATCACTGTGCCTAAGTAGGGATTGGGCATTTTTCCAAGTGGAGTGAAAGCTCATGGGTTCTGTTTTAAGAATAAAACCTGAATGATTGCATTTTTTGCAAGGAGAGGCCCAGCCTGTGAGCTGCGTGTCTTCAAGGCTGGAATTGATTCCTTTATGCTTTCCATGAGCCAAATACTCTGTTACTATGTGTTTGTTCTTGGTAATGCTGGCCTTCCCTACTACATGGACCAAATTAAGAATAATAGAAAATAATCATGCATCCAATAAGGTAGATATCACTTATGAAATGCTTTTCAGGGGGTACCTACATGGGACACTGTGCCCTTAAGCCTCCCCTCACTGAAAGAGGGGTGATGCTGGCTCTCTGCCTTAGCAGGATTTTTGGGCTCTGCTGAATTGAATGAGACCTCACATGCAATTGCTTTAGACCTACACATCTATGCTGAGCTCTGGGTGAGGGCTGACAATGCTATAGCCATGAGAACTTCCTGGAGGAGTAACCCTGCCATTTCCTAGAGCTTTGATTATTGTTTTTATTGACATGTGTGGTTTCCAAAGTATCTGAGTAGAATTTCCTTTTGTTTAGATGTAGGGCCAAAGAACCCTCTGTGTCTTGTTCCCACCTCATTTTCTTCATCCTTACTGACAACTCCCTGGTTAGGCTGTTTTGCTCATCAACAGCTTTGCTCAGAGTTTTATTCTCTAGTGAAAGACCTCTACCACTTTCTCAACTGTGATTAAATTATTGTATCTTTATCTTGTAAGAAGTCCCATGTCACTGAAGTCACATATGTTCTCCAGGGATGTAGATGCAGATGTTGCAAAAGCAGGGGAAAAAGTCAAGGAGGAAGACACGACTTGGAGGGGAAGATATGAGGGACATGGCGTGGATACTTAAAAAAAAAAAGAAAAAAAAATCTTTGGCAAAGTCCGAGCCATCAAAAGGCATGGCATGTCATCAAGGGCCGGGACAAGCACCAAAGATTCCTCTCTTGGTGCCCATTGAAATCGCAAGATTCCGTTTCCTTCCCGAAAGGAAATGAAATTTCCTTTCGGGAAGGGAAACGGAATCTTGCGAATCCCAAAAGAAAGGCTAACAAACGCTCTGGAAAGGAGATAGGATCAAATGAAATGCAATTGAAAAAAAGCCCAAAAAAACCAGAAAATCGGGAGATTTAGCATCTCCAAAAAATGGTCTGTGAGGAAATGAGCTGCATTGCAAAGGACCAAAAGAGGCCAAAACTAAGCTCACAGATGTTGCAAAAGCAGGGGGAAAAGTCAAGGAGGAAGACACAACTTGGAGGGGAAGATATGAGGGACATGGCATGGATACTTAAAAAAAAAAAAAAAAAGAAAAAAAAATCTTACCCAAAGTCAAAGCCATCCAAAGGCAGGCCATATGCCATCAAGTGCAGGGACATGCACCAAAGCCCACCAAAATTGATCCCCACTGAAGGCCAAAACAGAAAAGAAAGACTTACAAACACTCTGTAATGGAGATAGCATCAAAGGAATTGCAACTGGGGGAGAAAAAAGAGAAAATTATGCATTATGTATGCCCTGATCAATTTATGCCTTCTCTTACGTTCTCTTTTTGTCCAGGCAGCCTCTCTGTTGCTGGTGCCTGCTCCCCAAACATGGGCCCACGTTCAGCACTCTTACAGCCTGTCATGTTTGCAGATTGATGTGGTTAATGCAAGTTTGTGTTCATCTTCTCAGACAGTTCAGGCTGATGCATTGCACTCCAGTCTATCTCATCTTTGTTCAGCCAAATTTACAACAAGGAAGGAAACTTTGTAAGAACAGATAGTGTACCAGAGACATCAGTGTGTCAGGCTGGCCTGCCAAGGCATCTAAATGGTGTCTGTCAGCACATGCAGGCTCTTACACTGAGCATGACTGAATTTGGTCTCCAGCCCTTCCAGACAGATTTGGATTAGTTTTGTGATCCCTTTTCTTTAAAGCATTTGTGTTTGAAAGAGTCACCACATTTTAACAATTGTTCTTTCTGGGCTTGTGCAGTTCCAAACCTGCAGTGTCACATCAAGTGTGGTACAGTGGCAGAGCAATTCTACAGCATCAGGGAGAAAAACTGTAAATGTTCTACTGCAAATAGTCAAGAATGAATGTGACTGGCACTCCAGATTAACTTCTCTCTCCAAGGGAAGAGTTAAACTACTGCTTAGTGAGCTCAGTTCACTCTGGCAATGGCACTTCATTGGCTTCTTTCTCCAGCAGCACAGTGGAGCCTTTTGTAATGCTCTCAATGGCCATACTTGTAAACTGGTTTCTTCCTGAAGTGTTTTTCTACTGTGTTTATTTATTTATTTATTTTATTAAAGATTTTTTTTGGTGACTTTCAGTAATGCTTCTTTCTAGTAAATCCCACAAAACCACAGATAATAACTGAAAACTTGTTAGGAAAGTGCTGTTCCAACTTTTTTTTTTTTTTGGTGGGATATGGTACAGACTTGTATCAAAGTATGTTTGGTTACAGGATTGAGTACTGAATGAAATCTCTGAACACTGGCTACTAAATTAGTAAAAGACTGAGATGTCTTTGCCCATGTTGTTTTGAAATCCTCTTTCTGTTGAAGGAAATCCCAGAGCCAGTACTGTGGTTTGTTATCCTGGCAGAAATCATGAACTGCATTGGTTTAGAGCTGCTTTTAATCAGAGCTGCAGTGGGGTAAGTCATTCTGCTTTGCCAGTGGTCTTAGGCATTGTGGGGTTAATAAGGATTCCTGTTACAGTGGGATGTTCTTGGAACCATTCACCATTTTTTTTTTGTTAAACAAAAGAGCAATATCCAGAGAGGAGTCTGAAGTAAGATAAAATTTACCCTGGGTATTTACAGTGCAGTAGGGAAAGGCAGTCAAACTGGAACCCTGGGGTGCTGTGTCAGGCTTGGCTGTTTCTTGGAGAAAAAAATCACTTCAGAGAGACTGGAGTTTTGATTAGGAGGTGTGAAAGCTGAAGAAGAATAGGGGAAATTTTGAAAGAAATTATCATGAATAGGAAGAAGACATAACAGTGTAAGTAAATAAACAGCAAAATTTGCATGTGCAACACTCTTGGTGCAGAGATACCAGAGCAGTGCTGCTTTCTGTAGAACTAAAGGTATAAAAATGGTGCTTTTTCATAATTTTGGAACTGACTTAATGAACTGCTCCAATGGGCATCTTGTTTTTTCTGGCTTTGTCACATTATACTTTCTGCATCCAACAGTTTTAATGATTTTTTCTGCCCAGAGGTAGTCATGTTGCCTTTTGAAGAAGCAAAGATTAAGAAAAATCTGCTGACATGGACAGTTGAGTTGACCAATGGCATAAAGGAGAACCCAAAGATCTGATAAGCACCACTTTTACAGTTAACTGCTTTATCTGATGTAAACATTGTGACTTAAAGGTGATCCAGAAATATATTTGTAAGCTGTGGTGTTTCTCCTTCTCTCCCTGGCAGTATTTAACATCCCCTGACAGATCACTTACTTAAAAATGAGCCTGCAGGTAGCAGTCCAAGACTTCCCACAGCCATGATGGGACATCCATGGCCTGTCCTTGGGAAATAACAGCCACAGAAATCCAGAGTGTCCAAGGATCAAGAAGATAAAACCAGAGCATAGGATGCTCATTCTTGGTCTCCTGTGACTGGTGGGATCCCAGATACAGAGTGGGCAGATGACTGGAGGCATCACAAAAGCCGGAGGCAAATGCACACTTTTGTTTATTGAGCAGCTTGGACTGAGCTCAGGCTTCCTGGCTGGCAACTGATCCCCCTTCCATTGCTTCCTTTCCATAGAACTGCTCGGCACAGATTTGCAAGTGATTAATGAGTCAAGGAACGCCCAGTAGACAACTTTTGTTGCTTTTCATTTTATCAGGATATTGACTTTTCTCTACTCCCCATTTCCTATTGAGTCAGAGACACAGACAGAGCTTCAAACGTTTCTCCAACCACTTCCCTTTGCTTCTTGCTGCCACTTCTGGTTTGCAGTGCCTTAATGGTGAGGTTTGCACCTCATCTGATATGCAATAGCAGCGTTTCTTGTGGCAGTGAAGGTACACTTTTTAAAATTTGTTTATCAAAAAATATGCTTTGATAGGGAGACTTTTTCTACACTGTAGCTAATAGTGCACAACAAAGGCTCTTTTCTTGCTTTGCAGGAAGACTTGCACTGCAGGACAGCACTGTCCTCCAGTCAGTGGAAACAAAATTGTTTTTATCATAATGCTTTGAATCTTATAAGGAAATGAAGGAGTTACATCAGGAAAGCAAAAAAAACCCCAAAAACCAAAAACAAAAACAAAAAAAAACAAAACCCAAAAAAACCAAAACCCAAAACGGGCAGTAAAAAGCCAAGACCTATTGCCACGAACTCTTTGTCTGCAGAGAAAGCCACCAGA